TCCTCGAAGTTTCAAATTCCAGAATATGTGGCTGAGTAATAATTCTTTTATGCCATTGATTAAGGCCAAGTGGGATACTGTTGGGCATCAAGGTGGCATGAGAGGTCTTACTTATAAATTGCAGAATCTAACTGAGAATTTGGAATAAAAATATTTTTGGGAACATTTTTTATCAGATCAAGCAGTGTGAAGATGAGGTTTTAAAAGATGAAATGGAATTTGAAGAAAATCCGTGTGAATCTACCAGGGAGGACTGGTTCTATAAAAGGGGTTTATTGATGAGCAAGCACAAATTCGAAAAAAAAAAATCGGAAGCAAAAGGCCCACATTAGATGGATTAAAGAAGGGGATAGTAATTCCAAATTCTTTCATTCCTTTGTTCAAATTAGAAGAAGGAAACAGAGTATTGTCTCTATCAAAGACCAGAATGTGACAGATTGTAATACTCCACAACTTATAGGAGATGCAACCATACAATTCTTTTCTCAGCTATTTACTGCTGCCTCTACTGATGTGGTTCCTGAAAGCAATAGCATGTTAAATTATATTCCTAAATTAATCTCGGAGGAAGAGAACAATGGCCTTTTAAAAATGCCAGATTTGGAGGAAGTAAAGCAGGCTTTCTGGGATTTAGATCAGGAACAGTGCTCCTGGACCTGATGGTTTTCATGGAAAATTCTTTAGAAAATGTTGGGGTATTGTTGGTGCTGATGTCTTGAGAGCAGTTCAAGATTATTTTTTAGGGACTCCAATTCCTAAAGGGTTAGCTAGTGCCTTAATTATTCTTATCCCTAAGAAGGAGAGGCCTTCCAATTTGAGTGAATTCAGACCTATATGCTTGTCTAATTTTGTTTGTAAGGTTTGCACTAAAGTTCTGGCTACCAGATTGAAACTTGTTTTGCCTAAGATTATTTCTAAAGAACAAACAGGCTTTATGGCAGGGAGAGATTCTGCAGAATAGGTTCTGATTGATCAGGAACTTGTCCATCATATTGATAAGAAGGTGAGGGGCAATAATCTTATGATCAAACTGGACATGGCAAAGGCCTTTGACAGGGTTTCCTAGAATTTCCTAACTGCCATTCTTCTTAAGTTTGGATTCTCCCCTATCTTGGTTCAGCTTATTATGAATCATTTACAGGCTTCTTACTTTTCTATTCTTATTAATGGTTCTTCTCAAGGTTTTTTTAAACCTACCAGAGGGGTTAAGCAGGGGACCCTTTATCTCCTTTTCTTTTTATCATTGCTTCCGAAGCCTTTTGTAGAGGGCTAAATGGCTTGATGAGGGAAGAAAAAATAAAATTATATTGGACTGGGAATCAGGGCATGCATATTTCTCATCTAGGGTTTGCGGATGACTTACTGATTTTTCTGAATGGAGAGGTCAGATCCTTTCTTAACTTCAAGAATTTTCTACCAAGAGGTCTGATAGCATGGAATTATGTTTGTTTATGTGTGTAATTTTAACTAATATTATTTGTTGTTGTTGGGAAAATTACACACTTTTGGTGTAATACTTTATTTTCTTATTTGTTTGTAATTTGTATAGATTAGGATTATTCTGAGCTTTAACTAGGTAAAGATCATCAAAGGATCCTTTGAAAGGTGAAGGAAAGTGCAAGGGAACAAGATCAAGTGAAAATTTGGGAAAAAAGTCATTTACCCGATCGGGTAAAGCATATACCCGATCGGGTATTGACTTGATTCGAAGATCAAATCTGATTTGGAGGCAATTTAACGTGCATGGTGAAGATTTGGCAAAGATTTGTCTTTTACCCGATCGGGTAAATCAAAAACCCGATCGGGTAAGATGTGACAAATGAAGATTCCGGGCAATTTCTCAGGAAACCCGATCGGGTTTCTCAAAAACCCGGTCGGGTAAATGGCCCTGACAGCTCCAAACACCTATAAATACACCCCCTTTCCTTCCCATTTGATCACCAATTCACATATACTTCTAAGCTCAGTTTAGATAAGTTATTTCTTCATATTTTCTTCATGTTTAGTCTCCAAATGAGGAGCTAAACTCTTCCATCTTGGTTTTGCTCCTTTGAAGCTTAATGAATTTGTAAGTTGTGAGTTATTATCTTTAATCTTCTTCCTTGAATATTAATTCTTTCTTTAAATACTATTTCTATATCAATGTTGGGGAGTGTTACTAAGATGACAATTAGTTAACATCTTGACATTAGTTATAGTAATAGTTATTTCTTCCTCTACGTTAATATCGGGGAGTGTTACTAAGATGACAATTAGTTAACATCTTGATATTAACTATAGTAGGATTCATCTTCTTTAATATTCTTTCTTGAGTATTAATTAATTCCTATTCATATTTCATATTAATATTTTGAACATTACTTAAAGGATCAACTAGTTTTGTTTCATATATTAATTAATACTAGAATCGGTCGATTAATACGCTTGTTATTAATTCGGTCCTTTCACGGTTGTAAACTTGGATTATTAATGCATGCATCTCATGGTCAATAATCTAAGGGGAATTAATTACATTGATTAACCAACAAACCGCTTGTGTTGAGGTTATCAATCTCAATCGTTTTCATCTTAAGTTTATTGCTACTATCAAGTTAATATACGGCGCTTGTTCTATATTGACTCGATAGTAAGTTTTATTAATGAACGCATCTCGTTATTAATAACTACCCTCGATGAACTGGATATACTCCTCGATTGAGTATTCGAGAGGAAGATAGTTAAAGATATAACCGGGATCGACGAACATTTCATTAAGTGGATAAAAGCAAAGCCAAGTCTCCTTCTCATTAATTAAGCCACATAACTCGTTCATCTTCGTTCTTAAATATAATTTAAGTTCATTCACTCAATCTAAAACCCCCCTTTTTGTTACTAGTTTATAAAGAGAGAAGTATTCCTTTCCCTGTGGATACGAACCTTACTTCATTATACTACGTATAATTGTTGTATTGTATTATTATTTTGAGTGCACACCACGACAAAGTGCACGTCAAGGTCTCAGGACAGTTGATTAATTTGGATAAATGCTCCTTTGTTTGTCGCAAGACTGGTCAGGCTAGACAATCCAGTATAAGGGAATTACTGGGCATGAAAAAGGCTTCCCTCCCAATCAAATATCTGGGTGTTAAACTGCATAAAGGAATAAATATATTTGATTATTGTGGAAATCTTATACTGCAGTTTGAGAATAAGCTCTCTCCCTGGAAACAAAAAATTCTATCTCAAGGAGGGAGACTTATTCTTATCAAATATGTCCTAAATTCACTTCCTCTGCATGTTTTGGCAGCTGATACTTTACCCAAAAAAGTTGTTAAGATTCTTAACAGAAAACTGGCTTCATTTTTTTGGGGTTCATCTGAGGTGAAGAAGAAATATCATTGGAGAAATTGGGAAAAGCTTTGTTTTCCCACCATTGAAGGGGGTTTAGGCATTAGATCATTGACTGATATTGAAAAAACCTTTACCCTCAAACTTTGGTGGAAATGGAAAACAGGAGATTCTCTTTGGAATCAATTTATGAGAGGTAGGTATAATAGGGGAGGAAACATGGTTCCTAAACTTACAGATTTTGCAATATGGAAGAGAATTTGCTCTACTCATGACCAAGCTTCAACACTGTGCTCCATAGATCACTCTGGAAAAATAACTTGGGATGAAGAGGAAGATGGTCAATTTAGTTTTAAAACAGCCTATGAAGAAGTGAGGGAGCTTGTTTTCAGTTCATACACTAATCAGCAGATTTGGGATTCAAAACATGAGCTTAAGATTAAGCTTTTACAGTGGAAATTAAGCAAAGGCGTCCTTCCTACCTCGGACAATTTGAGCAGGTTCAAATTAGTTCTTAACCCTAATATGTGCCCTCTTTGTAGGAAAGATGCTGATACTATGAAACACATATTCTTCAAATGTTCTATCAGTAAAAAGGTGTGACAATACTTCTTGAACATTTTAGATATTTTCCAAGGTCCGGGATTAGACTATGGAAACTATTTAAATTGGAGAATTAAAGTTAACAAAAGCAGTCAGTTGGATTTATTCAGGCAACATATTCCTGGGATCATATGCTGGTTTTTGTGGAAAAATTATTCATCCCTAATTTGGGGCAAAGGAGGATTAGTTCCAAACTCAGAGCAAATTATTTTTCAGATAAAATTATACACCCAAGTGTGGATTTCAAGCATCTCGATACCCAAGATAAGAGTGTTTGAACAGGTTCTGTATGAAGAAGGCTTAATCCCTAGGAACTTCAGGATCGGTTTCAGACCTCAAATTATTAGATGGAATAAAACTAATGATAGATGGAAACTTAATGTTGATGCAAGTTACTTATCTGGCAAGGCTGTTGGAGGTGCGATTTTGAGAGATGGAGGATTTGTCTCGGCCATAAGCTTCCCACTGCAAGCTCGATCTCCCCTGGACGCTGAACTCTGAGCAATCCTCACCGCGTCTAGGCGGGCAATAAAAATAGGGCATGAAGGCTTCCATGTGGAATCTGACTCTGTTATGGCGGTTCACTTAGCCGCTAAGGAAGAAGGAAGAAGATGGCATGATGTCTTTCAGGAAACTAAACAGATGAAAATTAGGCAACATGTCTGCTTCGGGCATGTTAGGCGAGAAGGAAATTGGGTTGCTCATTTTCTGGCCCAACACGATGTATCCAGTTTAATTTATTATTCACATCTAGATCAGCTTCCATTATTTGCTAAGCGTTCTTTCTGGATGGATTTTTATGACATTCCATCTGTTAAAGATTAATTACTTTCTTAATTACTTCGGGTAAGGTTTGGTCCCCCGGTTGTACTTATTCTGATTACATTAATAAAACACTGATAAACGACCCAGGGCCAAACGGGAGCTTGACGGGAGTTAAACGGAAGATGTTAAACTTTCAAAAGTACCAAAGCCAAAGCACAATGTACAATCAAGTAAAGCAACTGATCCAACACAATATTCGGCCCTAAAATATCCTAAACCTTCATTGAACCATATAGTTTACCACACCCGGACGACCTACATTACGCTATTGAATTGAACGCTATACAGGGATTCTCCTCTTAGGACGCGCCATAAATCTCCGCTGCCCTTGTGAATCGGTACCCCTCAAGCATCGGTGAATGCCGGGACAATGGACAATTGGACGTCAGCAATCCAATCAGGTGTGGAAGCAATCCAATCTAGCCTGGAAGCAATCCAATCTAGCCTCGAAGCACAATCTAGCCTCGAAGCGATCCAATCTAGCCTCAAAGCAATCCAATGTACGCTCAACGACTTACGACAGCTTATCGTACAAGGTGGACAGTCACAGGGTGCAATGACTCCCCAGCAGTCGTATGGACATCTCGATCATCAGCATGGTAGGGATCCACATTATCAGCATGGTTGGCCCCCGGTTTCCGATATGCACCAAGCAACACTGCCTCCACACCAACCGATTCTATCTATGCCCACATCATATCCCAGGCAAGGAGAAACTGAAGAGGCTGGTAGTTCTTCATCTATCCAACATGAACCCGCACAATCGTCCAAGCAAATGAGATTTCCTCTTCGACCAGGTCTTGGAGAGATGGGTATAAGGTGCATAGTAAAGGCCAATCACTTCTTTGCTGAGCTACCTGATAAGGACTTGCACCAGTATGATGTAAGCATTCTATGGCTTAGTGTATAAGACTATAACTGACCTCTGTTTTGTTAGATTTGCCTGTAATTTGTTCGCAATATTCAATGCCAGGTTTCAATCACCCCTGAAGTTGCTTCCCGGGGTGTTAATCGTGCTGTGATGGATCAGTTAGTCGAACTCCATAGGTGTTCTTGTCTAGGAATGAGGCTTCCAGCTTATGATGGAAGAAAGAGCTTGTACAGTGCCGGGGAACTCCCTTTTGATTCTAAAGAGTTCAAGATCATCCTAGTTGATAAAGATGACCGATCAGGTGGTGCCAGGTACAAACTGTATACTCCTTTGGATGTGTTTTTAGTCTAGCAGACAACTTTGCATATCTTTTAAAATGCCTTATTCTGATTATTTTCTCAAATGCAGGGGAGAGAAGGAATTTAAAGTTGTCATAAAACTTGCATCTCAACCTTATCTTCACCAGGCTGATGCACCTCAGGAAGCACTTCAAGTTCTAGATGTTGTGTTACGGGAACTGCCCACATCTAGGTATCGTTAAAGAATGAGAGGCTTTAATTGTTTATATATTGTTCATCCATAAAGTTTTTTATATATGTTTGCTACTTTACTCTCTTTTGGCTTTCCTTGGATATTATTTAGATACTCTCCAGTTGGCCGTTCTTTTTATGCCCCTACTAAAGTTAGGAAACAGCCATTAAGTGAAGGTCTAGAAATCTGGCGGGTTTTTCATCAGAGGATTCGCCCGACCCAGATGGGATTATCTCTGAATATAGGTGAGCACATTCATGACATGTAGTATTTGAGTCACAAGGTATATTTTTATATAGCACATTTAAAGTCTAAACAAACTCTCATTGCTGTTTTGTTCTTTCGCGTCCTGTGCTCAAATCATTTTACTCTGGTTTTCATATGTGAATTTGTTGCGCAGATATGTCATCAACTGCTTTTATTAAGCCACTATCTGTCATTGGTTTTGTTAGTCAGCTTCTGAATTGGACTGGTGTGCCTAGTGCTTTGTCTGATTCAGACAGAGTGAAGGTTATATTTCCTAAGCAGCATTGTTCTCTAACCAAGAATAATCTTTTGAAAAACATTTATTTCTCAGTTACACATAATAATATTGTAATAACCTGTTTTGGTCATTTTTCGTTTGTTTGGACATTGAATCACTTCATCTAGTTTTGATATTGCCGCTTTCTATGAACCTTCAGATCAAGAAAGCCCTAATGGGCGTGATGGAGGGGCTAAAACATCATGGCAATATGCGGAGAAAGTATCGGATCTCTGGTTTGACATCACAAGATACGAGAGAGTTGACGTATGTAGGTTTTTTTAGATATGTGTGTGTGTGTGTGGTTCCTCATGCTTGCTCAATTATTAATTATACCCCATGTAGTTTTCCCGTTGATGAGCTGGGAACAACAAAGTCTGTGATTCAGTACTTCCGTGAAAAATATGGTGTTGACATTGGACTTACTCACTGGCCATGCCTACAAGTTGGGAATCAACAAAGGGCAAATTACCTGCCAATGGAGGTTATTGAGTATTTCCATTACTGGATTTTGTTTTCAATCTCTTAAAGGGCAACTTGATATGCTTTAAAAAATTCAGGTCTGCCAAATTGTTGAGGGACAACGATATTCGAAGCAGTTAAATGAGAGACAGATTACTGCACTCCTCAAAACAACACACAAACAGCCAAAAGATAGAGAACAAGAAATTCTTCAGGTGAGAAGTAACAGTAAATTTTGGGTGGGTAGTGTTATTAGTCCCTGACTCAGAGACTAGAAGTGTATGAACATATGGTGATGTATATTTTGCAGTGTTTGGTCTATTTTGAGTGCGTTACTTCAATCTTCGTTTCAGGTTGTTGCTTCTCAGGATTGGCCTGAAATTTCTAAGTATGTTGCTTCAGTTTCTGCTCAAGCGCACAGGCAAGAGCCGATTCAAAACCTTCACCTTACGAGGCCACACCCTCATACAGGGAAAATTCAATGTGCTGGCATGATTCGGTATGACTTTCTCTTTGTGTATAATGATGAGTTATAGCACCCTATTTACAAGCCTGATATACTGGTTTTGTTTTTGTTGGATCATCCAACAAAAACTTGGATGTGTTTGAAGTTTGTATCAATGATAATTAATACCTTAAAGGTCTCCATTGTTTTTCTTGTGATGGTTGTATTCAATAATACATTTTCCTTCCAATTGCCATTAAGAACTTTGATCAAGTCCTTCTGCGAAGCTAGTCGTACTCAGAAAATGCCCGAGAGAATTATATTCTACAGGTACTCTGAGCGATCCAAGCATATATACTAAAATTAAAAGAAAAGACCCCTTGACACTTTATACTGCTTGTTGTGTGCACCTTAATATTTTTCTTGGTCATTTTATTAGGGATGGGGTTAGTGAAGGACAGATTTACCAAGTACTTCACGCTGAGCTTGATGCAATTCGCAAGGTGATTACCTCTCAGTTTTAGTTATTATTATCATCGTCGCCGCCATCATCATCATCATCATCATTATGATTATGATCATCATCGTCGCCACCACCACCATCATCATCTTCATTATTCTCAGAATGCATCCAAAATGAATTTGAAAAGATTCACTACTTGGGATTTTTGGGTAACCCTAGAAGGTTTCATGTAGCTATTACTCAAGCAAAATCTTTGCTTATTGTTATTGGGAATCCTCACATCATTTGCCAGGTACTTTCATAGCATTTTAGTAGATAATATCCAACTAGAAATGCATTTGTGTATGATGCTTGATGGAAAGCTCTTCAAAATCATTCTGAATGGAACTACTTTTAGAGGGAAGAATTGCAGTAACCAATTCCATTGATGGGGCAGCCTGGTGCAGGAAGGCATCCCCGCAAGGCGAGGGTTTCGGGAAGGGTCCTGAGCAAGCCTTCTCCTATCAAATTTTTGAAGAGGCTTCTCCCAGGACCTGAACCCATGACCTCTCGGTCACACAACAGCACAAAGGGGTAGAGAGAGAGAGAGAGAGAGAGAGAGAGAGAGAGAATGTTGGTGTCGTTCTCATAGGCATCCGTACCCAAAGAAAATCTCATCCATAGATATTGAGTCTAAACTCTTTAAAGCTTTAAGATCAAATGGTTATCATAATTCTAAGGCATCCCCTCAAGGCGAGGGTTTGGGAAAGGGTCTCGACTACCCAACAAACCTTACCCTATCAAATTTTTGAAGAGGCTGCTCTCAGGACTTGAGCCCACGACCTCTCATTCACACAACAACACAAAGTGAGAGTGAGAGAGAGAGAGAGAGAATGTGGGTGACTGGGTGTGGTTCTCATAGGCGTCCGTACCCAAAAAATTTCATCCATAGTTATTGAGTCTATAGCTTAAGATCAAATGGTTATCATAATTCTAAAGCTCTTTTGTATCCTTAGTTTGTACCTATCTTTTATGCATCTCTATGTCGGGATATATGTAGTGTAAACATTATTGGGTGTGAGTTTATAGCTGAGAGAATTTTTTTTAGACTACTTAGCTGCCTACTCTGCAGGATCCATATTGGAACAAGCTTCTGTGGTATTGTGTAGAGAATGGCTCCTACAACGGTTGCTTTTTGCCTGTAAGGCAGGAAAGCGTTACTCATGAATCTGCTGGATGGAGAAATGAAGAGCGGAATCAGCCAAAAAATGTGGAGCCTATTAAGCAAGAATCAGAATCTGGACATAACTGGGATGGTATCACACCTCCTGCATCTGGTAATAACTTGGAAGATATCCCATCACCTGCATCTGGTAATAATTGGGAAGATATCCCAGTACCTGCATCTGGTAATAATTGGAATGATATCCCGCCAACCGAATCTGGTAATAATTGGGAAGACCTCCCACCACCTGTTACTGATGAAAATGAATGGTCCCACCATGGCTGGAATAACTGGGATGTTATCCCACCACCTGAATCTGGTTATTATAATTGGGAAGATATCCCAGCACCTGCATCTGGTAATAATTGGAATGATATCCCAGCACCTGCATCTGGTAATAATTGGAATGATATCCCATCACCTGCATTTGGTAATTGGGAAGATATCCTTGCATCTGGTAATTGGGAAGATATCCCAGCACCTGCATCTGGTAATAATTGGAATGATATCCCGCCAACCGAATCTGGTAATAATTGGGAAGACCTCCCACCACCTGTTACTGATGAAAATGAATGGTCCCACCATGGCGGGAATAACTGTGATGTTATCCCACAACCTGAATATGATTATGGTGATTGGGAAGACATCCCATGGCTGGTCGCACAAGATGGTTGACATTTCAGAAGAATGAAGTCAGAATGGAGGTGATGAACAAAGTGAAGGAAATGTAGTTCTTCTAAATAACTTGTGTTTAACTTAGTTTAATATCAACTTCAAATGGTTCTATGATTTTGTTGGCAAAAAACATATTTTGTTTCTGTTAATGTTCCATGGTGAATATGGTGGACAGGTGATTCTATGGTGAAACATACACATCACGTTTATCATTACTAGTACATTACGTGCACTTTTTAAATGAAAAATACTCAATTTCAGGACTAATAAACTTTTAAATTTATAAACATGGACTGAAATAGTTTTATACTTCATAAAAAACGTTTGATTTTTCTTTTGAACTACTAATAAGTTAGGTATCATGCTGCACGTAAATTCAAGTAAAAATATATGAGAATGGATACCAATGTTTGAATGACATCAACTTTGCTAAATACACTCGTAACTTCTTCCATTAATGTTTATTACATAGATAATGGATACTCAAAGGAAAGGTGTATTCTAGGTACGGACTGGCCCGGGCCGGGCCTGACCGGACTTTTTGGGAGATAGTTGACGCTTGGAACCGGCCCGATTATCCATCGGGTCTGGGTCGGGCCTCAGGCCGATTATTATTATTATTATTATTATTATTATTATTATTATTATTATTATTATTATTATTATTATTATTATTATTATTATTATTATTATTATTATTATTATTATTATTATTATTATTATTATTATTATTATTATTATTATTATTATTATTATTATTATTATTATTATTATTATTATTATTATTATTATTATTATTATTATTATTATTATTATTATTATTATTATTATTATTATTATTATTATTATTATTATTATTATTATTATTATTATTATTATTATTATTATTATTATTATTATTATTATTATTATTATTATTATTATTATTATTATTATTATTATGATTATTATTATGATTATGATTATGATTATGATTATGATTATGATTATGATTATGATTATGATTATGATTATGATTATGATTATGATTATGATTATGATTATGATTATGATTATGATTATGATTATGATTATGATTATGATTATGATTATGATTATGATTATGATTATGATTATGATTATGATTATGATTATGATTATGATTATGATTATGATTATGATTATGATTATGATTATGATTATGATTATGATTATGATTATGATTATGATTATGATTATGATTATGATTATGATTATGATTATGATTATGATTATGATTATGATTATGATTATGATTATGATTATGATTATGATTATGATTATGATTATGATTATGATTATGATTATGATTATGATTATGATTATGATTATGATTATGATTATGATTATGATTATGATTATGATTATGATTATGATTATGATTATGATTATGATTATGATTATGATTATGATTATGATTATGATTATGATTATGATTATGATTATGATTATGATTATGATTATGATTATGATGATTATGATGATTATGATGATTATGATGATTATGATGATTATTATTATTATTATTATTATTATTATTATTATTATTACTATTACTATTACTATTACTATTACTATTACTATTACTATTACTATTACTATTACTATTACTATTACTATTACTATTACTATTACTATTACTATTACTATTACTATTACTATTACTATTACTATTACTATTACTATTACTATTACTATTACTATTACTATTACTATTACTATTACTATTACTATTACTATTACTATTACTATTACTATTACTATTACTATTACTATTACTATTACTATTACTATTACTATTACTATTACTATTACTATTACTATTACTATTACTATTACTATTATTATTATTATGATTATGATTATGATTATGATTATGATTATGATTATGATTATGATTATGATTATGATTATGATTATGATTATGATTATGATTATGATTATGATTATGATTATGATTATGATTATGATTATGATTATTATGATTATTATTATGATTATTATTATGATTATTATGATTATTATTATGATTATTATTATGATTATTATTATGATTATTATTATGATTATTATTATTATTATTATTATGATTATTATGATTATTATTATTATTATTATTATTATTATTATTATTATTATTATTATTATTATTATTATTATTATTATTATTATTATTATTATTATTATTATTATTATTATTATTATTATTATTATTATTATTATTATTATTATTATTATTATTATTATTATTATTATTATTATTATTATTATTATTATTATTATTATTATTATTATTATTATTATTATTATTATTATTTTGCTTTTCTATTTAAGGCCTGACCCCCCTACCCCCACCCCCAAAACCACCCCAAAACACCCAGCCCAACCCAAAAAATTAAAAAGAAATTGAAAAAACAAAAAAAATTAAAAAAGCCCGAATCGGGCTTGGCCGGGCCGGTTCCTAATTTGGGTGATTCGAGCCTGCACAACGTAACCCCTGCGCCGGGCCTACCCGACCCGGTCTCTGGCCGGGCCATCGGGCTGGGCCTGTTCAAAACAGTGTCGGGCCATGGGCCGGGTGGCCCGGAACCGGTCCGATCCATGACTAGTGTATTCTATAAAGGTTCGTCATAAAGTGTGAAACAAAAAATAACTACAGTAGTTAATATTTAATAATAGAGTATGTATTAGAAACAGATACAAGTCAATTATATATGCTTAACACACACAACACACACACAGAGAAAAGATCAGGTGAGAAGTGTCCCTTAAAATGAAAAGTGAGAAGTAATTTCAACCCTTGGATTTGCATCAAATCTTGCAACACAGTAAACTTAAAGACTAAATATTGGAACTTATAACTAATAAATCATAACTTATAAAGCTCTCCATAATAATTACGAAGATGCCACCTCGTAAAAAAAATCGAGGTTTTCGTTGATGGAGTATATGGCCCAGGAACCCCCGGCCCATAGACTCCTATTTCTCCCACACAAGTCCATTGAGCTCAGGAAACAACTCAGGCCCAAATACAACGGCCCAAGCCTCAAAGTAGCCCAGAATACACACTGGGGTGCCTTCGGCCTCCTTGGCCGAAGGCTCCAAAACTCACAGGATAGCCTTCTCTGGCATAAGAAGCTGCTGGGAAAAACGGGCGAAGATATGAGCCTTCGGGACATGGTCATGCCCTCGGCACCAGGGGAAGCCTTCGGCTGAACCAAGCCTTCGGCTACACAAGAAGCCCTTGGCTACACAAGGAACCCTCGGCTACACAAAGAGCCTCCGGCTGAACAGGCTCAATCATCGAAGATTCCTTTTAGAGACAACCAACCACCGCATTTAATGCCATGTCACATCCGCCAACCGCAATCAATGCGGTTGACGTACCACTGCCGGTGCCACCCGGCTGATGTGACCCTTAGGCCGTTGGATTACTGACACGTGTCCTCTCATCGCATTTATTACTGCTATAAATAGCAGCCCAGTTCTCCTTGTAATGAACACAATGGACATCTCAACTCCACACGCTGAGTTCATTTAATAAAATCAACTCTCTCTCCTCCTATTTACTCCGTCTTCTCTCTAGTTATTCCCGCAATAACCCCTCGGATAAGATACCCCCCGGGTAGACTATCCATCATTTGGTGCTCTCGTTGAGAGGTCTGAACTATCAAGTAAGAAACCCTCCCCCTCAACCAAATACAAAACACTTACCAAAAAATGGGAAGAACCACTCGTGCCCAATCCAAAACTCTGGAGGAGAACCACATCGCCCCCGGCGAAACCAACGGGGCTGAGGCCTCCAACAGGCTCTTGGTACCCGAGGGTGGTATCATCCTTGAGTTGGAGCAGGCTACTGCTGACCTCCGTCAGCAACTACAGAAGAACGCCCCTGATGCCCGCATTGGCCTTGATAATCGAAGGAGGGATCGGAGTGAGAACCAAGTTCCCCCTCCGGCCCCGGCCATCGATCTTCAGGCTGCCTTTGCGGCCTTTGTTCAAAACATGGCTCTCAATTCCGGAGCCCTCGTCTCCCAGGCTCCCCTTCAGCCCTACGCTGGGGGAAATATTGTTCAATTACCACCACTCCCTCCTTTGTTCAACAACCCTCCCCTGGGGGTTGGCAATGCCGAGGGGGTCATAGCGCAGGATACCGCCTCCCAGGAGGCCCAATCCAAGGATAAACGCCCCTTGATGAAGGAGAAACCCCGGACCTCTGCGCTCGAGAGGCTTGGGGGAACTCCCATACGCCGAGGGGTCCAAGACCGCCTCGGCAAACAGGAGTTCAGCAGGCCTCAGGAGAGTGGAGCCTCCGCTTCGGGGGCCGAGGGCATACCTCCACCCCGGAGCAAGGGCAAAGCCCTCCTCCATGCCGATGACGCCAGGCACCAAATCAATCAGGCGCAATCCTTCCGGGCCAACTCCCAAGGGGTGGCCCCGAAGGATCCTAAGGACGAAATCATCGAAGCCCTCCTCCGTCAACTTGAGGAGAATCGTCAGGCTCCCCCGACGGCTTCCACAGCAAGGCCAGATCCGGAGTACGCTGACCTCCGGGCACAGGTGGAGGAAATGAAGCGTAAGCTCGCCGAAGGCTCAGGCGAGCCCCTCATTCAACTCCGCACTAGGACGCCCTTCACCCCAAGGGTATTGGCGGCCAAAATCCCCCACAAATATCGGGGGCAACCTATCAAGCCGTATGAGGGGAAGACGGATCCCCAAGAACACTATAGCCGTTATCAAAACAGCATGATGATGATGGGGGCCTCGGATGAGTACTTATGCCGTTGGTTCCTTTCCACCTTGGAGGGACCCGCGTATGAGTGGTTCAACCGGTTACCCGAAGGCAGCATTGATTCTTGGCAAGAACTTGCCCACCGCTTCCTTACACAATTTGCTGGGAGGCACCACTCAAAGAAGCACTTCTCCCACCTCCTGAACGTCAGGCAGCAGAAGGAGGAGACCCTTCGGAGTTTCCTAGAACGCTGGAGGCAGGCCTCCCTCGAGGTCGAAGGCGCTGATGACAGAACACTAATGGCCCTCTTCCACACCGTCCTCCGCAACGGCAACTTCTCCCGGAGCCTTATCACTGATCCCCCCCGCGATTATACAAAGGCCCTTCAGCGGGGGGACCGATACGCCGAAGCAGAAGAGATCGAGAAGGACCGCCGCAACACAAATCCTTCCCAGAAAAATGAGGGCGGGAATCGGCCCGGAGGACC